CCCCCCCCCCCCCCCTATTTCAAAATTGGACAGTTGCTCGTATGAAAAACCCGGGTTGGGCTTCAGTGTCGGGAAGGAAATCACAGTTTTAAATGCTCCATGTGACACAGGGTGCTTTGAATTACACAGATAAATTTGCGCAATAGCATCCTACCGTTTCCAAAAAGAGTGCATGTGAGAAAAATACTAGGTAATTACAGAACAGAAAAATGTCATGTAAATGTCCCTTTCCCCCTCCCACCTTTTTTTGGAACACCGACATCTTCATGAAGAGGTAATTTTTTTTTTGCACAGGTCAACTTGGCAGAGGAGTTCGAAATTTTGCAAATCGTTGGAGAAGGATGGTTCGGAAAAATTCTTCTTGTAGAACACAAAATTACAGACACCGAAATGGTTCTGAAAGCTTTACCTAAGCCATACGTAGCGCTTAAAGATTTCTACAGAGAGTTCCATTACGGGCTCCATCTGGGAGCTCATAGAAATATTATCACCACTTACGATGTAGCCTTTGAGACGGCTGGCTTCTATGTTTTCTCTCAAGAGTACGCTCCTCTGGGTGACTTGACCTCAAATGTCTCCGAAAACGGTGTCGGCGAGGTGTACAGTAAAAGAGTTGCAAAACAGGTACCTATTCTTAAAACTTATTTTTAATTAGAAATTTTCACATAAGATTTGTCCTATAACGATACTAACAGGTTACTGTGTGTTATATCCTAAAACCAATTGTAAGGATGATGGAAAAGAGAAGTGCACGAGTTGCGTGACATAACGACAGTGTATATTGATAAGGGGTACAAGCTTGCCCTGCAGGCGTGACACCTAAGTAGCGACAATATCACTACTCGTACATGCTACCAACTGCTACCTGCAGTCTCCCTGCCCATTTTAAAATCTGAGGGATTTTAAAAGGAAAACATACAAGAAAGATTTAAGCTCTGATTTAAAAGAGGTTGTTCCATCCCCCATTAGATTTGGCCCCCTATCAAATATGATCCATCTTTTCGGAAGTGATACAGTAGCATGCAAGACGTTCAAATATGGCGGTCATTTCGACTTAGGCCCCCCCAGAGAGGGGGGGCGGGGGGTCAAAGACAAAACCTTCAACTGCCTATAACTTTTGAGCGACAAATCGGATTGAGTTGAACTTTTTTTTAAATGAAAGATCTCAAAAAGATCTATCTGCTGATATCAGAAAAATTGAAAAAAAGTTAAATTTAATGCAAATTTTTAGCAATTTTTTGATTTTTTAGGAGACAAAATTTTCAATTTTGTCGTGTTTCGGCACCGCGCAATGACTCTACTAAAACAAAAACCAGTTTTTTAGATTCTACACTCAATTTCCTATACGATGCAATTAACCGCATCTTGGGGAAACGTTTAGATCGCGAGCTATGGCTCGTCAAAGTTAGCCCCGCGCTGAGCGCGCGCCCCCTGCGCTGTTCGCATATCCTCCACGCGTCTGCCACCGATCCTGTTGCCCCTCCTCCCCCATCCTAAATGCAAATTAACATTCTACTACCCAGCTTTCGTATATATCTGCGTTATAGGTACGTGAAAAT